TTTCTGAATTTAATTATATTCAAAATCGGGCAAATATTTCTTGAATATATTTATTAATTTGTTTGAAATAGATTTCTTTTATAATTTGTTTGATTTCTATGAAAAAATATGATATTTTCATATATTCAAAGAATATTACAACAAATAACCATAATATTATTTATTATTATTATTGATATTTTTGATTATATTTTTATTTATTTAATAATACGATATTTAATGTTACGACTAGAATCGGAATCGAAATTATTTTTTAGATTATAATTATTATTGCTTGCGAATTATCGAACTCATGATATTGGCAATAATTCTCATAGATTTATTGAAATACGGCCAAAATCTATGAGATATAAAATCAAAATCATTTTTATTTTGAATACCGATTAAAATATTATACTACAGGATATATATTTCTAAAATATACCAAATAATTGGGCAAGATATATACATTTTTTTAAAATATATTCTGCTATAGATTCGTGATCATATATCGATAAGAAAAAATAGATCCAAAATCGCTTTCCAATTACGAATCTTGGTTAGTAAAGCCCATCTCTTCTTACACTATTTTTCCATCATCATCTCACTGACTTTTTGGCGGAAGAACAGCTGCCCCATTTCTGTAATCTCGCGAGCAGCCAACTCGGTAATCTCACTCGCCAGCGAGCTGGCAGGCCACCCTATTTCGTCGGGATTCTACCAAGGATCCCATCTGATTCCTTTGGAAATCAGCTGCTATATAAGGACAACGTTCAGCGTAATAGAAATACAGCTCTCCACGAACCAGAACATCACATATCAATGTGCTCGAGGTTTGAAACGATTCTAATCGTATGCAAAGGACATAATCAGGGCTTTGTTATGCGGGCCTGTACCTAACATATGTCATTTCATTTCAGGAGGATACTAGATGGATAACGGTAAAAAGAAGTCGTCCAAGACGCCAACTCACTCGATTGATACAAATTAAGAGCTTCTTTTGCCGCTTTTACATAGCCATCCTGAGGTTTGAATCTGCTATTAATAAGATTCATTTTCAAATATATCTATATTTATAATGATTTCATTTATAGAAATCTTAAATCTCTGCAGTTGGAGATTAATATATTATTTCTTAAATTTTCAATAAAAAATGAATTTTATAATATTCTTCAGCTCAGAAGTTTCAACATTAGAATTAATACAAAAAAAATTTAATCTAATATATTTATTAAAATTTTCAAAAAAATAATTCTCATATAATTAAATATTATGAAGTCTAAAAAGATTTCGCGAATTATAAATATTGAACGAATTCTGAGCAAAAAACAAAATTGTGCATTACAAAATCTGATTATAATATTGAGGAATTAAATAGCGTAAGAAAAATATTATTTCTTATTAGAGGTATATTTAATCAAGATAGTTTTTAGTATTAAGATATTATAAATTCTTCATAAACCTATATTTATAAATATCAAGATCCCAGTCATAATCCTTTTTTTCAGCTACTAATAAATTTATTGCATAATTATTTACTAAGTCTCCTAATCTTCCAAATAATTATTCAGATCCAGATATTTTATAATCATGTATAAATAAAAAAATTCAAATTTAAAGAAATAAATAGATAGACAAATATAAATATTCTCTTCAATATATATATAGAGACACAAATAGATATAGATATAAATAAATATTCCCACCCAAATAGACACCCACCAACATATAAACAAACAGATACAAACACACACAAATAGACAAACAAACAGAGACAGACGGACTACAAACACAAACAGACAGACACGGACACAAACAAAACAACAGACAATAATATCGGAAAACAAGAGATATCGTGCTTGCAACGATGAAACCAGATTTGGACGTATTGTGATAAAGATAGAATATAGAAGACATATTTGAGTGAGAACGAAAAATTCGGACATATTTTATAATCGTGCTTATAACGATAAAACCGGAACTAGAAAATTACGACACGACAGAATATGTGCTTTAAATCCAATGATTTAGTGGCTGTCCATACTTTTTAATCTCATAACTAAAGCAGCTCCTACTTGCCAAAAGCAAATATAAAGACAGCCACAAAAGAGACGCACTTCGACGCCTGCCTTCAGAGCGAACGACGCCAAAACGCGCACTGCCAAAATCCTAACGTACTTCCTATTAAAAGTGTCTTACGTGCCTTTCGCAACACTAAAATTTCCGCACTCAAATCCGAAAATACTTCTCCTTACAAATCTCTTACATAATTTTCGAGCGGCCATAACATCGGATACATTTCTCCTTGAAAATTCCTTTTTAGGACATACACCCGATACTAAAATTTCAAATCTTTTATTACCGCACAAAAACTCTCCCAAAAAAATCTAAAATTATTAAAAATTTACTATAGAATAAATTCGTTAAAGCCTATATTTCCGGAGCAATTCATATCCCCACTCCCACCCGAATTTCATTTCCGCTAAAAATCAGTAAAGAATTTATTTTATTCCATTCATATCATATATACCTTTATAGAAATTAATAAACAAAAAATATATATATATTATAATAAAGATCTTCAAAAAGATTCTTAATTTGAAAAAAAATCTGCTCGAAATGTATCATTTGCTGAATAAATCCTCCATATCTAAAGTCTCCTTTCTCCAATATCATATCGGAAAGACCTTGGCGAAATATTGTCGAACGAAAAAGATATATATTTTCTCATAAATCTTACTGAATTTCGTAATAATTTAACAATGCTGTGCATAAGGGCATTAGAAGGGGCATCATCGGGTGCCGCGAACCAGATTTCACACTGCGAATCTTTGCATGTCCTGCCCTGCCACAACAAGCCTTCCGGGAGCAGCTTCCAGCATCCGAAGTCTTGGGGCGGCGCCTCATCTTATGCCAGCATCCCGACTCATGTGCTCAGTTTCGGCCGTTGTCGCCGTACACTGGCGCTCAGGATCTCGGCACTGCGACACTGTCGTAGCTGCTAAGCTGGTAACTGACTACTCTGCACTAAGTGCCACCGGCTGGATATCAACAAAACAGACTCGGTGTCGCTTTAAAGTCAAGTCGATTCTCGCGTGGCCCTGGCTTCGGTTATGAATGACAGAGTTCTGAGTGCCACAGCTCGCGAGCTTGAAGGATCAGGTCCACAGGTCCGGACCGCCAGGGCTTGACGCAGAGACTCAAAAACAGGCGAGCAAGCGGAAAGAGCTTACTTTGGAGTGGCAAGACACTCGGCTCATGGATCTCACAGGCTCAAATCTCTCTCCTACCGCACTTCGTGCACTTGGAGAACTTGAACATACACTTTCCACCATCCTTGCTGCAAGTGCTGGTGCCACCGGGGTTGGCGAGGGCTCCAGCACCCTTGATCAGCTTGCCTTCGGCAGCTTGGCAGTAGTTACATTTGCCATACTTCCAGTGATGCATGCCATTAGGTGACTTGGAGCAGGTACCGGAAGAAGACTCCATGGCACTAGACGGCGCTAGCTTGTAGGTGCTCACTTCGCCGCAGGCACGGCTTGCGCCCAAGTCCTCCGTTGACGAGCAGCTGCAGTTTTCCGTCAAGACGTATACCTTCCTTTACACATCCATGCGAAAACGGGCATCCAGGTCCTTCTCCATGTTCTCTGGCACGGCAGAGGATCCATGGATTGTAGCCTGCGTCTTCAGCACGGCGTCGCACTTCAGGCAATGCGCCCTGTCGTTCATCCATTGCGGGACTGACTTATACCCACCTGAGCTGCGCAGCTGCACTCATGTCTGAACCCCTGCCTGTAGCCGCAAACAACCCAAGATCAAGGTCCGAGTGGTGCAACTGGAAACTAATGCCCATGCCGCTGAGGCTGAAGCAGACATGGCACACAACCCGTGTGCGCTCATTTCGCTGCCCGGCTGTGGGTTCCTGAGGAAGCAGTCAGGAATGCAATCGAAAGCGGGGGTAGCAAAAGATATAAGAAGCTCGCTTTCTCCTTGGAAGGGGTTCGCTCCACATCCTCCTGCACCATTTGGAGCACGATCAAAGCAGCAGAGTGCGGAAATTGCGTCAGTTTGGTCCAGCCTTGCTGTTAGACTGGAGGAGGGTGGCAGCTACAGTGCCAAGCGGGCTCTGAGGCCTGGGACCTAGCGAAAAGGACAGCTTCGATCATGACATGCCATGACATAGATCCCAGTGCTAAGTCTGGCGCTGCTTTGAGGAGAAGCTTTGGGCGACGGCTTGGCCTGCGCAAGCCGTTTCCCCGCCATTCTGTGTTGTTGCGCTGCTTCATGCTGCTTCGGATGGTGGAACAGGTGGGCAGTTTCGGGAGATTTGTGAGATGCATCTTGCGCAGCATGGGCACGCGACTCGAGAGCCAATGGGATTTCGGAACCAGGCTTATGTAATGTAGAGGACTTTTTGTGGGACCGTTGTGTTGGGCTCAAGTTCGTGGCTGAGTTGCGCAGGTTCCTTTTGGGTCACCAGCTTCGTTGCAGAGCTTTAAGTCAGGCATTCGGGCATGTGGTGCAGGGCTGGGGCTCGATGGCAACATCCGGAAGTTTCTCACATGTAGCACGACTGAGAATCTAGGACCAAACGCGACATTGTAGCGTGGCCTCGGATGATCTCTGCTGGGTCACACTTGCTTCATGACTCGGCCTCCGCACAGCCTCCAGGAGCTTTCAAAGAAAACAGCAGCGCCAAAAGTAGATGCAGGCCCAAAGTAGTTGATAGAATCTCTACTCGTGCCACTCAAGATGCACTTCTACTTGCGGTCCTTGCCCCCCATCTCAGATCGGCCACACTTCCTTGGCAAGCCCAGTTCCCATTCTGCTCGTGGGGCTTTGTAGGCAGAGGGGACTCGGAGTGCGGAGGTGCAGCCTCTTAGGGCCGAAAGCAGGAGGTACGGCCAACTACGAGGGTGGGACGACCAACCACTGCGGCACTGATGTGCCGACCAGCATCGTGCACTTGGCAAACTTGAAAATGCACTTGCCTCCCCTGTCGCACTCTGCTGCGCCACCTGGATTCGCCATGACGCCTGCAGCAGGAAATCACTACACTTGAGTCAGCGAGCTCAGTTAAGCAGCTGCAGGAAGCAGGTAGCATCAGGTAGACCTTAGCTCACATGCCAGTAGTAAGCCTATGTAAGCCTCTAAACTGGCATCTTGAGCTCTTTGCACATTATGCTCCTGGCGAAATATCTGTGCTGCTACATGTGCCGGGTGCCTGGTCCTTTGGCCAGCTTGCCTTCAGCCATCTGGCAGTAGTTGCCTGCGCAATGGCATGCATGCAGTCCTTCTCAGACTCCCTACTTAAGATCCGGATAGAGGCCGAGTGTTCAGATAAGCGATTGATGCTTACAGGCCGAACATGCCAAAGTGCATTTCCCATATTTCCAGTGGTGGGCTCCGTCCGGCGACATCGAACATGACCCAGAGCTGGACTCCATGGCACTGGCTGGGCCATGCTTAAACCTCGGACACGTTTGAACCGAGCTCGGGAGCTTGCTGTCAAGGACTTTCAGAGCGGTTTTCAGCCCAGAGAAGGATATACCAATGCTGTTGGCGGCTTGCATCCTCGAAAGAAAGGCTCGGCGAGCAGCCAAACTCTCCGCCCAACTTGGGCCAAGGAGCGTGCTCACCTCTCCTGGCGAGAGAAAGGAAGCGCCAGAATGACGAACACACAACAAACAAAGTCGATATCTGCCCACGGATCATGCCAACGGCACACCCCGGTGTTGCCTGCCAAATCCCTTTTTCGCAACCCGCCTATACAAAAAGTGGGTTGCTACCGGCGCCTTTCCGTCGTGTCGGTTGGGCTACCCTGGCCCGCACGCCCACTTCGCCAAGCGAAAAAACGACGCAATCCAAACACTCCTGTAATTGCAACAACGATTCGCGACCCATCACAGCTCTTGCAGAAGTCCTGGTTCTCTTCTACCCTCGCCGTTGGCCTCGGCGCCGAACACCTCCCGCTTCGTCTCGTGGCAGGAACCTCTCTCGACATGAAGCAGGCCCGGGACCGTGATTCTGGACTTGCTCCATGTATGTAAACACAAACCACCCCGAATAATCGTGACAGCTGCGTTGTGCAAGGAGTAAGGATGCTAGGGCGGAACAGCGCGACAATTATTCGCATAGACATCCTTGCTCCTCCGGCCGCATTCAACCAAAACACACACACACATACACACACACACACACACATACACACACGCAGGGACAGCCAGCGCGCAGTTGCACAAAAAGCAGAGTCATGCCCCACCTCGCGTGCGCAGCACTGCCTGACATGTCAGATTTGCATGCCCATGGCCCATGTCCATTGCACAGTCTTTCGAAGCTGCATTTCTGTGGGTTCCGCCAGCTCTCGTTTTGTTCACGCGCTGTTCCACACCGCAGACTGGCCACGAGCCGTATTGCCTACACAAATCCGCATCTTGCGGATCGCACACGACCTAGACCTAGCCAAATTAGTCGTTCCAGTCTCGGGGTGCATAAATATCTAAGTCGGAGTTTACTCCTGCCATGCAGTGCCACATAGCACCAACTTGTTCTGCACATGCATAAACGGCAAGTGTTGACTGGAGTCGTGAGACTTCAAAGCTCAGAAGCTGGTGACCCTGGCAAAAATTCACGGAAACGCCAGGCGGGTGCTGGCAGATTGCCTGGCTGTGCAAGGCCCGGAAGAACCTGAAGGTCCATGCCTCTCATTCGTGATTGCTTTCTTCTGCTGTGCCTTGCGCGGCCATGTCCCAACAATATGTACACGATGCATCTGGATCCCCGGAAGATGCTGACGGGCTTCCTAGAAAATGACTTCGACCAGCTGGTCTGGTCCAACTCCGCCAAAGATGTGAAATGTGGGACTCCTCCTTTCGCAACTCCACCATACAATTATTCAAAGTGAAATGGCCAGAGGCCGTGCGCATCTCCTCGTTTGAAACTGAGAACCCAATCCGGCATGGCAAACAAGCTTGGTCTTTGGGCTGGGTGCCGCACTTCCGATGGAACGTGCCTCTTCCGTCAGACTTCTTAAAGGCACCGATGAGAAACTGCAGGAGCTGNNCAGCTCCTGCAGTTTCTCATCGGTGCATTGCACAAAACTGTCCCGATGCCAACTTTAAGAAGTCTGACGAAAGAGGCACGTGCCAGCGGGCAGCACAAGTCAAACCCCGGGGAGATGACCTGCTTGACGTCGGTTCGGAGCTTGCGAGAGTCCACGAACCACTTCACCAAGTAAGGTCCTGGTCTCCCCATGCAACAGCCGTGGATGCTTTGTGGGTCCTCGTGTTCTGTGCTTGGCCTCCCAGGCAGACGTGCAACCTCACATACGTATGCTGCATACTCGGGCGTTCGTTTGCAGGTGGTAGATCCAGTCAAGCCCTTCCTCCGCGATGTACTCTTGAAAAGGGAAGTGCACCTGCGACTCTGTTCCGAACCGTGTCTCAGCGCTAACCCCAGCGAACGGGGCAGCATGTGGCACCTCGAGCAGCTTCTCCTGAAGCTACGCTGTCACACCTGGACTCGCCAGATCATCAACAAGTACCAAGATCTCTAGAAACACAAACAGGAATCAGGTATAAGGCATCCCGAAACTGCAACTCGAGACACGCAAGTCCGAGGTAGAGTCCTAACCAGACCCAAGCTGGAGCACACAGCCAACATCAAAGCCCTCAAAGTCTCACTTCCTCCGGCAGTTCGGTCTCGTCAAGGTCCGGACGCATAGTCTTAGCAGCACAGAAAAACTGCGATGATGGCCCGGCTTTTTCTCTTCCTCCGCTTCCTCTTCAAATTCGAGACAGGTATGCACCACCTTGGTTTTCCCCGTGGGGATGTAGGCACGCAGCATGATGAGTGAAATGATGCCGGCACGCATTCCGCAAGGCGAGGCTTGAGCCGCATACCCTGACATAGCCTGTTTAGATGCAACATTTTGATGTCCAGGCTGGCACGCACAGCTCAGACTTTGCGGGTGCCGGTTTCATACGACGAAAGAACACTTTTGGAAGCTGACACAAGCCATGCTTCGCACATGCTAGCCTGCCGGAGATGCTCTCTCGGCGATGGTTTTGTCTCTCAGACATGCCTATCAAAGTTGTTGGTCCCAGTCGGCGAAGACGGTGAAGCTTTCTTTCCAAGTTGAGTAAATACACCCATGCTGGGCAGTACTTCGCATCCGAAGCCGAAACCGATGGGGAGTTCTTCACCTGCTTGAGCTGCAGTAGCGGCAAGCCTTGACAAAAACTGCCGGCTGGCTGTCGAACTGGTGTTCAGAGAGACTGCGTGGATTCTTCAAGAGGCTGGAAGTCTGGCTACGCGGCCAGTGCACCCGCAAAGAACTCTTCGAACCCGGAGACTCTGTTTGCACTGCTCTCGACTTCTCTACCTTTAACCGGCGTACCGTAAAACATCAGCGCTCGGAAAGGCTGAAAGCATCCAGGAGAGAGAAGCTAAGTACCCCTGATCTTGCCAGACCATCTCGGCACTTGGGCTACGCGAGTTAGATTTAATCAATCTTACGTCTTACGCTCTCCACACCTCTCCATGGCATGCAGCAGGCAGGCAGGCACCTGGCCTGGCATTTCAAGCAGTGGGCTTTGTCGTTTAGCCTCAGCATGCCAGTCTAGCAAACGAGCAACATAAGCCGACATGCTGTAGCCCGGTGGCCTTGCTTTGATTCCATTGCAGCTTCATTTGCATGTGCTCCAATGAAGACTGTACTCTCGACTGACAATGGCAACTGAGCTCCGGCTCCATTGCGGGATGCACTTGTAGCCGCATTTGTCGCATTCCATCTTGATGCGATCTTCAGCAGTAGCCATGCTATATCACGGTGAAGCGCCGCGATTTAGCTCGCCGATGCAGGCAGCACTAGATGCCGTGAGCCAGGTCTTGGCAGCAGCGTGCACGCCTCCCTAACTGGACCTGTGATTCCTCGCGATCTGTTTGCATTTCTTCTGGAGTGCACACCTCGGTCCCGGCCAGACACCAGCTGCATGTGCCATCGTGCCCCTCCGCCATTTCGAGCCTCACTGCTATATTCTCTCCACCGACACCTGACTATGGCAATGTCTGGAACTATGACGATTGTGGAACTACGTACTTCTGTTCAGAAAATGAGCGATACCAGTACGAGCTGTATATTCATGAGCTGGAACCCACGGCCTTCCATTTGCTTCTCCCTCGTGGTAGCAGTACACGGCAGATCATTTGTAGATCCACAATGCTTGCGACCTGGTTCCGTCCCACCAGCCTTTGACAAACCCTGCGCGCTTAGGAATCACTTCAAGATACATCAAGCAGGTCTTGTCGAGGTCGTGATGGACGGCGGCAGGGCCCAGCTGAAGTGCAAAGATCAGATTCTCCGACCAGCCGAGAGGACACTTAAAACCCTGCTGCCAGCAGCTCTACATCGTGCAGGCAAGTGCTCGCTGGATTTGAACTGTACAGAAAAGCGTGCCTTGCAAGTGAGGTGAAGCGACACCTCATGAATTGAAGCACTGGTAAATCACCCAGTTTCATGACTTGTGCAGAATTCTGCTACTCAGTGCTGCGTAAAATTGTGCTGCTGGTCCTTTTTGCACAATGTCTCCCAAAGGACGGCAGTTCTTTTCCACGTGTTCAGGCCTCGGCAGGTACAAATGGTCAGTTCCTATGCAACGTTGCAACTTGTGTTTCAGTGAAAGCTATCATTGGCACCAGCAAGACTGCACAATAAAGCCATGCAGAGCTCAAAAACTCCTGTAGTGTCTGCAAGGCAAGGATCTCGCAGACTCATCCACAAAGCCTCAACCCTCAAACCGTAAAACCACTCAGCCCTAAACTATACTGCAGATATTGCAAGTGCGATCAGGACCAACCCAAGCGTCGCTGCTTCTTCCGAGCCCCACACATCTTGTGTGCGAATTCTAAAGTTTAGGGTTTCTATGTGTCTATTAATGTCGGGATCCCCGATTTCTGCTTTCGGAATATGTTTACGCTCCCATGGTCCAGGGTGATTCCAAGAGGCTCCCGCAGGTACAGTGTTCAGATCTACAGATTGGCCAGCATTGCCCTCAGGCAATCTCGCCAGTTCCACGGAACTGGGTACGGCAGGAACTGTTTAAGTCTCACTTCATTCCCAAAAACCCAGCTTGGAGGCTGCCAGAATCAGCCTGTACCGAAACACCAGCGGGTGGACGATCCTCTGAAAACTGCTCCTTTCCTGTGATACCCGTTCCACCCCGTTCCTGAACTTCGAGGCAAGTTGTACAGCGCAGAGATGAATGCACCACATTGAAAATATTGAAACAAATGGAGTCCAAGGATGCTGAAGATGAGAGTTTCCAGTGGCGCGAGGTGCTGCATAGCTTTATGGGCATGCCGCACTAAACTCCGGCCCATGGATTTCGGATCGAAGAGTTGCAGATGCCGCTCCGTGGACTTGGAAAGCTTTTCTGCTCACTTGTGCACTTGATCCTCGAGGCCCGACGTGAGGGCCCCGTGGAGCCGCTGGCCTTCTCGAGGAGCGACTTGCAGGCTTCACCTTCTGCCACATCCAGCGCTGTTTCGCCGTCTGTGTCCTGCACGTCCTTCTTGGCACCGGTCTTGAGAAGCAAGTCCACACACTCGGCTTTGCAGTTGCGTGCGGCGAAGTGGAGCGGCCTCCGACCATCTCCGACCATCACTGTTCGTTGCGTCCTGTCTGCGCCTTTGTTCAGAAGCGTCGCCAGAATCTCCGTGTCCCCGAGCGAGGCAGCACACATCAAAGGTGTCGGACCCTGGCCCTCTTCACTTCGGACCTCAAGGCCGTGTGAAGCCGCCATGGTCGCGATGGCAGACAGGTCGAGTATGTACACAGGGAACTTCAAGAGGTGCCACCGGATGGCCAAGATGCCTGCGATCTTCACGCAGCAGAAGACTTGGTTCAGGAGCAAAAGGCCACTAAACGTCTGAAAGTTTAGCATCGCCATGACGGCCAAGACCGCCTGTGGCACATCCTCGCCAATCGCAATCGAGAGCCGTGCTGCAGTGCTCTGCTTCGACAAGACCTTGAGGCGGACACCCAACGCCCTTTCCTGTTCTGCGACGGTGCGAGCAGGATGGAGGTTGCCAAGGAACTCCTTGGCAACCTCCATCCTGCTCGCACCGTCGCAAAACAGGAACGGCCCTGGCGTGAACACTTTCACCAGGCTGCAGCCTCCGATCCAGAAGCCTCCCTCGTCTTCTGCACAGGCGGCCAACTGCAATACGGAAGCCGTAAATTCCCATTCTGGGACCGAGGGTCGATCTCCTCAAGGACTGCATCTTTACTAAGATGCAGTCCTTGAGGAGATCAACCCTGGGTCCCAGACTGGGAACAATGGACTAGCCCCGCGATGACAATGATCATGTCTATTGAACATGATCATTGTCATCGCGGGGCTTGGCACCTTCCTTCCAATCGACACAGCCTGAATGGCGCGGCCAAGGTACCCCAGAACGTCGACGGCAAGGACGGCGACCAGCCAGAGACCCATAGCCTCCCACCGATGCCCGAGCTTCCCAGCATCAGGTTGTTCATCATGCACCACGACATCAGGACCAAGAGGAATCCGCTGTGCAGCATGCAATGGAAGCATGCGTTTGCTTGACGGCTCCTGCAGTCGTAGCTTTTATCTGACCGTGCTCCACTAGGGTCGGTGCTCTTCGTCGCCTCTTTAGCTTGTCCGACAATCTGGCATTCTGCACATGCACATCTCCTCTCAAGCGCAGGGTCCCCGCACAAAGTGATTCGTGCGCAATGGCGGCATCGGGCGAGATCCAGAGCCCTACGCCGTGAACCAGCTTTGAGTCAGAGGCCGGCACTTGCATGTCAAACTTTGGCATGGGACCGATGGACACATCTGCACATCACACCGGAGGATTTCATTACTGACACGCCATGAAGACACGAGCCGTAACGGCACAAGAAAGACTTAGCATTCTTTGCCATACATCTGACTAAAGTGTGCAACTGCGTGTCTCTGAGGTGCAGACGTCATGCGCACAGCACGCTCCAAAGCTGAGCCAAGCCTCAAAGGCCCAAAAAGAACAAAGCATGTTTACACAGAATCCATGATTCCTGGAAGTATCTAGTGTGCTACGATTGAAACGCAGCAGCGTGACTACCTGCACCCCGAAACTTGTAGCGCCACTGTTCCACCACTTTCAACAACAACTTCCATGTTGAGGCACCTTACCGCGAAAGAGTGGAAGCACCATGCGAGGTGCCGATTCGTTCACAAGCCGAGACACGCTTTCCGGAGGGCCCACTTTGGCATGAAACGCATCAACGCCATGCTCAGCGATCCGGGTGACACGGTCAAAACCTCAGAAGCACTGCTGAGCTTGACTTGTGTCACTTACTGTAGCAGCATCATGCTTCACGACATCTGCTGATGGTCTGGATGCTTTGACGGTCCCTGAGGTCTGTGCATGTCGGACCTTCAACGTGAATCCGACTCCGCCTGGATGCACCGACTACTGTGGGCTGCAAGGTGCATACAAGATTGCAGATCGTGATAAAGGGCTTGAAGCAAAACTTTGGATTTATCCGCTGCACCTCTTGCAATGCGAAGAAGGCAATGCTTCAGCGTGTGTATGTATACATGTATATATATATACATATGTATATGGTTTTTTACACCCATGCTTGTGTGCGTGGTTGTGTATGCACCCGCAGGCTAGGTGCAGTTCGGACTAGGGCTTACACACTCCCTGGAGAAGAGAGAACGACGCAACAGCGCCTTCTCCGCGGTCACCGGTTAGAGCTGTGAACTTCCTCGGAGCTTCCAGAACATCCATAAGGTGCTGGTCGATGCAGTCGCTGCGGTGATGGGTACCCAGCACTCCAGGAATCACAGGTGAACAAGGGCATATATGACCGCTAAGGTTCAATACATCTGAAGCACGTACATGGCCATCCTCCACAGGTGGCAGTGATGCGCCAAAAGGCCTGGTGCACAAGGTCTTCAGCTTGCTTCCTTTGCTTTCGATACCCGGCGTTTCCCTTTCCGTGCTGGCTTCCACTCTGAATTTCCTCGACATGGTTTCACAGCAAGCCGGCACACTTTCTTGGGCAGCAAAATCTGGCGCAGCACATCGGTCAATGTGTGACTGCACCACATGCAGCTCGCACATGCTCGCGCGATGGAAAGCCGCAGGCAGGTGGCACTAGTCCAAGTTGCTGATCCTCGTCCGTTGCCGACGCTTCCACAACCCAAGCCTGGCTTCTGCACTTTAGAAGAAACGACGGCCGCTGGCCAAGTAAGGCTCCGACATCGTAGGCGGAACGCTTCTCTGGAATGAGCCAGTTGCGACGAAGCACGTCATCGGTCTTCACTCCAACACCATCCTCGGAAAGTCGGAAAACACTTTCTGAACTTGGCTCCGAGCGCGCTGATCGCTAAGCGCGTAAACAAGCGTTAGCTGCCGTTAGCTCCAAAGACAAAGCTGTGATGAACGACTCACTCTTCCTCTCTCGCCAACCTGACAGAGTGGTTTCGCCCCCACCTTCCAGCACCACCTGTCCCATCAATTGCGTCGGGCGACAACCCCGTGCACGCGCCAAACTGCCTGACGGTTGCAACGGCAGTCTTCAGGCTTCCGGGCATGCAGGTCCATGGACAGCTGAAGCCTCCGCTGCGGCTTGCTGTCCTCATCTGTGACCAGATCAGCTAGCTGATTTCGAGACTCTCAGCCGGGGTGATCAACATTTTCCGGCCGTGCCTGCTATGCAACTCCCTCAGCCAAGCATCCCAAAGGCTCAACCTTGTGGACGGTGCTATCCCAACCAGGAGAACAGTCCTGCACAAGTTGATGACGAAGATTTCGAGCGTACGGCACGATAAGACTCTTGAAGGTATCCAGCGGTGCTTGGCTCTGTGCGGCGACTTCCTTGCTTATGTACAGCGCCGCGTAGCGGAGCAGCTCATCCATACTGCCAAGATGCCTGGTTTCTCTAAGTATCTATTCAAGATGCACAAGCTGCAGTCTGACAGCTGCGTGTTCAGACTCCCCAATTTGATGAGCCTTTGCCATCCTCTGACTACAGAATGGCAGGTGGGCGGAGTTACCGAATTGAGCCAGGCACCAAGTGACCGTGACGACCAGCATGAAAGAATGACTTTGGAGCTCCAAGCCGTACCTAGGTTGCACAGCAATTCGAAGAGGCGTGCCTGCGAAGGCCTGTCAAAGCGCTCTCGGCTGCAGTTGTTTCAGGTGTTGTTAGCAACTGAGCGACTCGAAATCATAGTCGGGAAGTGCTCCGAAGACAGGCATGCTGGACGGGACAATGTTGATTTTCTGGAGCGATGCCTTCGAACGGTCGTGATGCTGACAGGCGCAGTTCTCCATCCGACTTCCGGCATCCCTCTCGGCAGGGGGCTGCAAGGTGTCTCCCCAGCCTCGTACAGTGCGGCAACGGTGCGTAATCTGGTCACTCCACCGGTTCCCAATATCGCCTCAAGTCAGGAAGACGGTCCCAAGTGCAAGACAAAGCTGGGATCATCGGCACGCCAGTCATGCTTTGAAGACTCGCAGCGGCTGGGAACTCAAGATGGTTATCGCAGCATCCAAGGTCCAACCATTGCCCTGGACCACCCAACACGCCTTCCAACACGTCCCAATTCGATGGGACCCGATGCCCTGAAGACTCCACATCCTGTCTGAGGCACACAAGTTGGATTCACTTTTCGATTTGCTTCGATTTTGCGAGTTCGAAAGCTGTTGCTTTTGGGCTTTGCTGCCGATCGCTGCGCAGTTTCGGCTCCTGACGGCATTTTGCAGTCGGTGTCTCTTGTCTTCGCGTCTTGGACGGCCGAGCAGCATCCGCGACTCTGGCTTCAACCAAGGCTCCAGGTGAGGCATTTCGTCTGCTTTGCCGTTGGCGAGGTGGGCAGCCTGGCGGAACTCGGGATAAATAAAGCAAAGTACAGGTTGCTCGCGATGTCCAAAAGCGATGCTGGCAACACTTCATTGTGTAACTGTGTGCCTCCAGCAATTCGAATCGGTCGAATGCGGCAGACAATGTCGAATGCTCCTGGCAGGCACATCCATCAGTTCACAGTCTTTTCAACTGCCAAGTGCGAGTGTGTCAAGAGTCAGTGGTGTTGTGGCTCCCGCATAGCAAGTGGGGGGCAGTCACGCGGGTCTGATGCTAGTCGGCAGCCTCAGATAGGACTCGGTCTGGGAACTGTCAGACGAGAATATCGTCTTATCACCTTAATGCATGACTTGCATCTGTAAGGGAATATCAAGAGTGCTTAGCTGCTATTCGTCCACATGAGTGCCTTCTTATCGGTGCTGGCCCAGCTGCTGTCAAGGTCATCTGCCAGGGTAATGCTGGTGACTGATGTTTCAGGCTGAGGGTCGTCGACATCTGATTTCACCTGTAGTATTGCGGATCGTTTGCAACAAAAGCTCCTGGTGAGCCGGCAATGACCAGGGCATGCTTCCTGCACCAACTGTTTTCTGAGAGGCTGGCGAACTCATCAAATCGACGGTGCCCACCACGGAAGAGGAAGTCGTCAAAAACCTCTTCGACATCCTGCCAAGGCAGTTTCGCATGCTGCTCGTCCGACTCCAGTTACCATCTGTTTGCAGCAAGCTACTTCCATGTAGCAGTGGCTCCTCTTCATGCTTTGGCTCCGTCACGGAGCAGCATAGAAATGGAAAAAAGCGTGCCATGGCGGTGTCGAGCTACAAGGCGGAAGGTGCCGCACTCCTCCGAGGAAGCCCTTTGTGAACACGTGCAATGGCCGGCTTTACTCTTGCAAAAGACTTCGTCAGCTGAACAGAATCATTGCCGGCATCACATCTTGATTGATGTTTTGGAGAACTCGTGATCCAGGAAAGCAGCAACAAGAAAAATGCTAGTGCGCTTGGTGGACACTGCTTGCTTGTAAGCACTTCACCGCGAAACAGTGTGCAGCAAGCAAGGTCTAGAATGCCCAGCCTTTTATGCCGTGTCGCCTGACGAATTCCGCCCCCACTCCACGAACTCTGCGGACCCTCTGCTGCGAGGTCTGCAATAAGGCGCGGAGCCCTCGCTTGCCAAAGCAAAGACAAGCAACCTACATCACCTACTTGTACCTGCCCAGAATGCCCGAATGGCAGCGGCAATCTTTGCCGGATGGGCGTATCTCGAAACTGCTGCTGTGGACAGAAAGCAGTCAATTGCTGAAACTGCAAAGCAGCTTACAGTAGTGAGCAAACCCCATGAAAAGTGGTGAGGTCCCAGGTTCCAAACCTGAACTGCGCAGAGTTTCGCACTTCGAAAGGACAGGTTGCACAAGGCTTATGAAAAGCCGATGCGGCAACAAAACCTCCTGGGCACATGCTGCCCTCGATCTGGCGTATGGGAAAACCCAGGAATGGCCAGGCTTTTGAATCTTGATGACGGATTCAGACCATGTGGGAATCCCACCAAGTGATGAATTCCTAGTGCACCTAACTTTAAGAAACCCCACGTGGCTAGAAGTACAGTCGCTGATTCAGAAAGGCCTGGATGCATGCCGCCCAAAGCAAGGCTGCGAAAATGAGAAAATATTCGCCAACTCCTGGGGACTTCGACGATTTCTTCCTCTCCTTTTACATTTTTCGTACTTGACTGCATAGAATAAACATTCCCTGGGCCAAATAGTTGAAGAAACGGCAAAACTGAACGAAGTCGATCTTCGTTGGCCGCCGTAGAAAGCCGCCCCACTCTCATGCCAGGCCGCCAGTCCTCTCAACCTGAAGCTATGATTTGTGCACGGCAACGTTGGGGGTGTTTCCAGAGTCTAGTAGGCGCTTGGTGGCCTCACGCTACTGTAGCCTACTTCATCATATCAAACCCTTCATTTGTGAAGATTGTTTGCGGTTTCGTACTGGGTTTGTACCTGCAAATGCAGACAGGAATTTTGGACGTTAAAAACCATGCATGACAAGGTGTCGCGGAGCTTTGGCTCGTACTGGTCTGATGTACACTTGGAATCTGCCGTTGGTGTACGTTGCTCATGTGACTCCGATTCGACCAAAAGAGTACCTCCGCGACGATGGTGCCTGTGGCCTCACAAAGCAGCCTCTTGGTGCATGGTGCAGTAAGGGTAGAACGCGAAGCTGTGGCAGCTGGCTGCGCAGATCAGCGAGCCAACGACCAAAAAAGTCCTGGTCTGAGATGTTTTGAGGTGCTCAGGGGCAGTAGAATTGTCACGCCACGGTTTGTCGATTTGGCCATGCATTTGTTTTACAAAACGGTAGTCGCAGAAATCTTCACTGCCAGCCAATTACCTGGCGACCCATGATGCTCACACAACTGGTGCCTTCAGATGCCTTCAGCCTGAAGAAGCAACAGCCGTGAAGGGCTTCAGCGCCAATGGAATACCTGCCTCAGGATTGTGCGCACACGCAAGATGACACTCACGCTTTTGCGTTCATGAAAGCTTGAGGAACATGCTGATTCAGCAAGTCCGGTCGTCTTCTGAGGTGGCATCTCGCCTGCTGGTGGCATCCCGAACCCGGCTTCTGCAGTGTTTTACACACAAGTAAAGAAAGCTGATAGGTCGTCATTGCAGCAAGGATGATTGAGGTGCAGCTTCGTGGGTAACGACACAAATGCCTGGCGCGATGCCGGAGTCCTGTGGTTCCTGCCTCAGGGGACTTGGGTTATGGCAGGCAAACCTTCGTCACATCCTGAGCTAGCAGCCCAAAGGAAATCCGCTCGTCTGTGTCCTGCAGCCACTTGGGGTTCCATCTGGGTCAAGCTGCATCAGTTGCAGGAAACACTGAAAACAGCCCCTCCTGCAGCACTCGATGGTGCTTGCAAATTGGCGTGCTGCTGCGGATCTGCGAGTCTGGACGATCACCGCGGAAAAGGAAGTCGTCTGTATCGTCCTCCTTTTTCAGTCTACAGTATACGGCTAGTTCTTAAAGAGATGCAATGGGACCCCTTCCTCAGTCTTGTCCAGAGGCTTCGTTGCGCAGCAAACCCAAAACCATGGCAGCATCTCTTCGGAGCGCTACTTGGCACTTCGGATAGCTTCAGGTCGTTCTGCAACTGTGGGAAGACACATGTGGTTTAATGGCGGGAACAAGCCAGCACGGGGTTAGTGCCTGGTTTCCCAGTAAGACAATGATTTTTTCCCTCCAGTAAGACAATGATGGATCGTGGGCTTTTGGAACATCCCTTGCAAGAATCTCTGCGCAAACAAACTGACAGCTTGACAGCATGGGCGAAGCGGTTCCATGCAGCCGCTGCTTTCTAGGGAGCTCTGCGATGCATCCTGGGCTATTTCTGCATGCCTTGACATACATATATACATAAATATCTATCTATATATATGTATATATATATAACATGTGCACAAACACATACGGCATAAACCCTCGATTCGCTTCCAGCGAGTGAAATTGTGCAAAGACCAAGATTGAGCTTGCACGCCCAGGATACGTTGGGGAAGTCCTGCTAAAGGCAACTTCTTGAGCATTTTTCGACCACAGCTAAAGCGATCAACTTCCTTGACTTGGCTGGCCATCGTCTGCTCTGCAGCAGGTTTCGAAAGCCTCAGCTTGGCAACATGTTGGGAATGCTGGAGTGCACCGGCTCGGTTGCTGGAGCTTATATCCTTCAAATGTCTGCGGACACAGACGCAGGATTCCAGCTCGACTTTAAAGCAACTCTCTCGATTTTGTCCTGCAGCAAGCCGGATATCCAACTCCTCTTCGCGCGCACTCCTCAAAGTCGCGCGCCTCTATGCAAAGCCGCGTTCTAAAGACGCACATGAGACCACGTTTGTCATGGAACGTGTGGGAAGTCCTGGTTAATCCTGTGTAAACTTGCTCCCCGTGCGCTTCTAGAATCTCCAAAAACAATTGCGCTCTTCTATGCAGAATACGTTCCAATTACACAGGTTGAAACCACGTCAGCTATGGAATGTGCGGGAAGTCTGGTTAGAGGAGCGGTCTCTACCAGCTCTAGAATCTCACAAAATCTTCCGAAGCTTGGAGACCACGCCAGCCGAGTGCGAAGTCGATCTGCAGCTTGGGCGTGGCGCAAAGACCTTTAGCGAAACGCACCGTGACATGGTAACATATGATATATACTATGTTTATATCTTATCTACGAGCCGGTGTCTTGGGCAGATTTTGAAAGTGGCCATCTTCTGACGTTGACAGTTGTAGGTTTGGCTTCGGTTGGTATCCAGAAGCCAAGAACAATTCTAAGAACATCTGGGAATAATCTCCATAGCAGGCTCGGTCTAGATAGAATGAGTAAATGAGAGACGGAGCGACATGGAGTGAGGGAAGCAGATGGCAGGGCGAGCTCTCCGAAGAGCGTGCGCGCTACAGTAGCACGTTTTCACGGCAACAGATGGGCACGGAAAGAGGTATGCTGCTCTCAACGATGAACGAGGCATCTCCGGTGCGCTCACATGCACTCGATCTCTGTTCGGCTGGTGATCCTTTCCTTGCATCGTGAAAGTGTACGCTTGGAAACATGTCTTGTGATCTGTAGAGCTGTAGAGAGTATCGCGTGGGGAACAGTAGGCAGCCATGCAAAGAGCAAAATAAAGTCATGCGACTGTACGAGACTGTGCAAACATGTGCCAACAACTGGCTTCAGCTTGTGTTCATTCGTGTCCACCTTCCCGACTGGGCTCCCGACTCCACTTCTCGCAGAGCCTCGGCATTGAAATATGCGACTGGTCTTGCAACATGCCTCTGGGGTATACCTGGTAGCATGAAACTTAAGTAGCCTGCCTCGGCGAGTTGTCTTCGAAGTTGTGCATTTTCACGCGAAAGCTGGACCTCATGAACCATGGAGGCAAATCCTGACTCACTTCACTCCGTGTCAGCCGCTCGGAAATAATGGACTTCTGCGTCACAAGACAAACAAACACGCGCGCCCGCGCGCGCACACACCCACCCACTTACACAGACAGACAGACAGACAGACAGACAGACAGACAGACACAGACACAGACACAGAGACACACACACACAGAGACACAGACACAGACACACAAACACACACACACACACACCCACGCACACACACACACACACAAACAAGCGCGTGCTAAGCTTGCATCCAGCACCACACTCGATCCTATGCTTGCATTTTTAGCACTGAGGGCACGCGGTGCTGCGCAGCTTCGCTCTTCAAATTTTCTACTGCGTTTCTTTCGCCGAGTCGGGCTTGGATCCCAGCATTCTCTTCCTGCACTCGCTTTTCTCGAAGCTCTGGTCCTCCCCCCAAATGCCCAACGAGTAGGCATTGCTTTCAGCTACTAGAACAATCTTTGGTGAAATAGGAATTTGCAGCTACCCGGACTGTCGAATCTGAGAATGAGTCGTGGCTTACCGGGCAAAGTTGCACAGCATGACGTTTCATCAAGCCAAGCACAGGCCTGATGCATCTTGGTCAGGCCCTCCGGGTGTAGGAGGCTCTGCAAGCATGCGCTCGTAGTGCCTTGCCCACTGAGTCCAAAGCAAGCGGCAAATCACAAAAAAAAGACTCTGCATGCGGCAAACCACAAAAACAAGACTCGTCAAAGGCCGCTACGCAGTGCGGGCCAAGTCGATGATTTCCGCCTGATTTGCTGTTGCCATCCGATCGAAATTGCAATTGGAATGAAGTTTGTGGATTTGTTCTCGAATTCTGCGACAACTCACCCCTCTTGAGTCTTGCGCAAGGAGCAATGCAGCAACATGACCTTCTCCATGTGCACACAGGTAGCTGTGGGAGTTCTGCCTTCAGCAGATCTGTGACCAACTTTTCCCAGGAAGAGCAGTGCCTGGGTCCGATGCTGCAGTTTCAAGCTTGGTCCCATGGTACTGTAAGTGTGCGGCTCGCTAACAAAACTTCGTCAATGCAGGATGCGTGTAGGATACGCCGAAGCTGATGGGATGCTGTCATGATTTCATGCTTGGCGGGCTATGGCGGGCTCATACAAGTAGTACGCATCTTTAAAAGTCGCGTGAAAGACGCCATGCGTCGGTGCACTGTCCGCCCGCCGGACAGTTGCTAGGGAATTTCGGACACTTCTCGGGACGTGCTTCCTTGCAGTGACACGGTGGGTTCCGTGAGCGACAGGACAGGGGACTTGGGCTGCGGATGGTGGGAATGACTGTCGGGACAGCTTGACAACGGCTCGTGAAGAGAATAGTGTTAACCCTCCAAGCCCGTCACATGTACATCGAAACAAACGCACACGTTCTAACATGGTTATGACTGGGGCCTGACTTGAATGAGGCCCATCACAACCTTTCTCCACTGAGCAATCCTCTGGACTTTTCGTCTTCATGCCCGCTGCGTGCTTTGCACAGATTCGGCATTGCGCTGAGCCGTCCGAAGGCGCTTCACCTCATCTCTTTGGCTCTAGGAGACGCGAGCATGCCATGAAGAGTCACTACAAAGCAAGCACCTTCAGCACACAAAGAGTGTCTCGCTATACCACACAGCAATGACTGCAACACCTGCGGCAGAACTTCCTTCTCAAACTTTTCCTCCGTCTCCTTGGGACGAAAGGGTGCCCATCACTGTCGCGGACTGTAGTTAGACCCCGTCTCCGCGCAAGCTTGTGTAAAACTTCACAGAATTACACGTATCTGAGCTCACAGCAGGCAATTCTATCTGCGCACCCTGCTCTTCATCCTAGGCTCAACCAGTACTCTTTCCACAATCTTGTCCAAGTCCGCCAGGTCTTCACGCAGATCTGGGAGCAAGCAACCAAAGTGTTGGAACGCGCTAGGAACTTCAGCTTCCTTTGTGTCACTCTCTGGGAGTCGCAACTTTCCTTCCGCTTGAAGGGCACCCTGTCGCCTGCAGCACAAGCAGCCATCACCTCCTGGAGTTGACCTGTTACCTCAAGGAGCCGAGAGCAATTCCAAGGTGGACAGGAGCACGTCCATGAAATCGTTCTAAAGTTGCTAAAATGGACTCGGTCCAAGCTGTGTAGAGCAAGGTTCTGGCTCGGCTGCTGGAGGAGCCCGGGCTGAGAAGCGCCGTACGGTGATTGGAATTTTCTTCTTGACGCATGGCCCGAAAGCAACCTGAGTTGGTCGCAGCTTTACGGCTGATTGGCTGCCGCACATCACTATGCTTCATGATGGTCAGTTCTATGATGCCATGCTCGCCCAGCGTCCGCAACCTGCTGAAATATGTCTTTTTCTTTGGGGCCCCGCTGGATGATGCAGCCTCGTGCAAGCTATAATGACAACAGAAACATGTTGGAGCATCGGCTGCGCTGCAGGTCGGTTGGCATGAAGCTGCTTTCTGTGCAAAGCTGGCTCACTAGGCTCGTGCTTCACTCCTTACTGACAGATGCAGAACACACTTGGTTTGTGCGCAGCTGTGCGTCCGTGGGATCTGCCTGCAAATGCTGCATCTGGCCCAGACAAAGCATCCGAAGCCGTCTTCAGCGCCTCGATCGATCTGGGATCTCTGGGCAATCAGATCGGCACCGCATTGCTGATGAAGTGAACCGCTCAAACGTCACTTTCACAGTGTACAGCGTACACATTTTCCTACTACATTAATGCGTCGTCTACGGGTCCGGTTAAAATGCCATGTAACCATAGTATACAATCTTCGGACTCTTGAATGCTCACTGCTCTTCTGATACTGCCTGGTGAAGCCTGGCTTCCTCGGGCGTCAGGGTGGAAGCTGTGCTGCTTGGACCGCGCAGGTTGCACCATCCCAGCAGCCTCGAGGTGCAATCACGTACACGTGTGGTGGTCCTAGTCCTAGACTTCAGAAAGAGCTACAGCCAACAGCAGGAGCAGAGACGGGTTCAGCGAATGCTCGAGTGATGCAGGCTCGAAAGTAGTTCTGTGAAACGATATCAGAACGGTTCGTCTAATATGATGTGTCAACTTTGGGCATACGTGCCACACAAGACAAGAAACCTAAATTCGTGTCGCATCTGCTCTGCGACCAGCTCTTGCGCGCGTTCGGAGAGGACGGCAGTAGCCTCTTTCAAGAAGACTGCCACGAATCTTGTACCGGCATCTGAATCTGCCCACACCTTGTCGGTGCTGCTGCCAGACCCACCCACGAGCCGGAAGCTGCAAACATGCCCAGGGGCAGGCCTCGGCAGAATGCGGGGGGACAGTCTTGTTGCAGCAACATAACATTCCATGCATTGCGGTGCAGCCCAAAGCATAAATTTCCAAGATGCCCGAAGAACAGGCCTTCAAGATCCTGAGCCATGGAGCTGGATCCTACCAATCGTGTTACCTGCCAATAGCGGATGCGCCCCAGTACATACACAATCCAACCGTTACAGGGGCGGTCAGCCTGCGGTAAGAGCAGGGACAGGCTTGACCAAGGATGAGCACATGGCCGTGCCTCTGACACGACCGCCGCCGTGCTCAGCATAAATGCCCAAGTGTGGGGCTCCAGACTGATCTCTGCAACATCCGAAGCCATCGCAGCAGCACAACCAGCACGGCTTCAGCTTCCGCGTCAGTGTGAGAGCACAGGCTTGTGCCTGTCTTGCCTGGCTGGCTTTCGGGCATTATCCTTTCGGAGGATCCTGGGATCAATTTGCTGAAGCCAACTCAAGGTGTACTTTGTCTTTCCGAGAAACAAGGTTGCACAGCTGATATCGCTCCGGACAACAAGCGCTTCCGGAAAGAGCATATGAGACGTGTGACACCAGGGCTCTTGCTCGCCGCCACCACCCTCACAGCTCTCGCACACTGGCCTGCTGACAATGGCGAGCTGACGCACGTCCGGTACAGTACGAAGATGTACGCGGAGACTAGTGGAATCTTTCGTTGACTGGGATGAATTAAGCTCAAAACTCGAGCTCCTTCGGCTGGCCAAGCGACGGTGAGCCTCGAGTTGTCTGGGAGGCCGTCGGCTGCATCCTGTGTCGACGGCGATGTGGGATGAAAAGCACGACAGCTACACAGAAACGTGGCTTCCCTTTTTGCTACAGACTTTGCAGTAGCTACTGTACCAGTCAGCATCAGCCATCCAGCACAAACCTCCCGGATTTGCGGCTTTCCTCGCTGCCATCGCTGTCAGCGTGACGTGAGCTTCCTCTGTAAGACCGGCATGCATCATCTTTGGATGCTTACACGCAACATGTCAAAGCACACGCTCTAGCATCGCAGGTCTGGCATCATCTTGCAAAGCTTAGTTCCTCTTTCCTCACATCTCGGCCTGGATCCTCGACACCCGAAGCACTCAAAACTGCAAGGTATCGAACCCCATCGAATCTGTCTCAAGAGTCATGCGGTCCAGCAACGTCCAGCACAGGACTAGAAGGGCACATGACCTTCTACCACTTCCGCCATCGCGTGACTTGGTTCGCGGCTCTGCCCATTGGGCTCAACCGGCCTAAGCTAAGATGGTATGGTGCACTTCATCTTGGAGCAACGTCGTATCTCTATGCCCTCCGCTCCACCATTTTAACATTCACCTCCGATGCATCTTTCAACCTGTAGGAATGCTCCGGTGCAGTACTGGGGCAGTGGCGGGCAACTGTTTGCGTTCACCTGGCCGCGCAATGACCCTGATCCGCTCACCGGAAGAAATCAACCACTAGCCACTAACAGTCGCCAGGAGTGGGGCTACTGTTTCATGGCTGCGGTATGGCAATGTGCTGAACAAGGTCGTTGCACGAGCTCAAGCCCTCTGTTTGCTGAGGCAAAATCCGTTTGGGTGTCCCGCGCACGGACGAGCCGCCTCGCAACAGGAAGCGCTTGAAGCTGCATGAGCAAAAGGGGAAGGATGGATAGTGCTTCGCCACTCAACCTGGAGAATGACAATTGTCACTGCTAGTATTTTTTTTGCGTCCCACCTGGCTAGGACCCTGCTAGTAGTAGGACTTATAGTAATGGTACCAATACCAGTACTTGTGCAAGTAGTAGTTGTCGTAGTTTTGGCTCCCGCATGGCAGCACCCGGAGGCGCAACTTGGCAGGGTTCGGCGTAGTAGTAGTACTAGTTCTTTGGCCTCCTGCATGGCTGAACGAGCAGCAGTAGTAGTAGTAGTAG